TCTTGTGGTCAGTCAAGATAGTAACTGGGAGGACGGTGCCCTCTAACAAATGTCTCCATTCCTTTAATGCCATAATGATAGCTAAAAGTTCTCTATCACCAATGTCATATCTCCTTTCAGTGTGTGATAGTTTCTTGGAAAAAAAACCGCAAGGGTGCAGCGGCTTATCTAAACTTTGTCTTTGGGATAACACTGCGCCTATCCCTGTTTCAGACGCATCAACTTCAAGTAAAAAGGGTAGAGAGGTATCAGGATGAACTAATACAGGTGCTGAGGCAAAAGACTGTTTGAGCGTTTCGAAAGCAGATAAAGCCTCAGTAGACCAGGTTTTGGTATCGGCTCCTTGTTTGGTCATATTAGTGATAGGAGCGATAACAGAGGAGTACCCTTTAATAAAACGTCTGTAATAATTAGAAAATCCAAGAAATCTTTGTATGGCTTTGAGTCCCTTAGGTAAAGGCCAATCTAAAATCGATTTTAGTTTGGTCGGGTCCATCATAAACCCGTCTTTGGAAATTACGTAACCTAAGAAAGTTACCTGAGACTGGTCAAAGCTACATTTTTCCAATTTACAATACAATCCATGTTGTAAAAGTTTCTGTAATACCTTTCTGACTTGTCTATGATGTGAATTAATGTCTCTAGAATGGATTAATATATCATCCAAATATACAATTACACATTCATGTTGGAATTCTCTAAGAACTTCATTGATCAAGTCTTGGAAGACGGCCGGGGCGTTACAAAGCCCAAACGGCATTACGGTATACTCATAATGCCCGTAACGGGTATTAAATGCTGTCATCCATTCATCTCCTTGTTTAATTCGCACTAAGTTATATGCTCCTCTTAAGTCAAGTTTAGTAAAAATACTCGAGCCCTTTAGTCTGTCAAAGAGTTCAGTAATCAAAGGAATAGGGTAAGCATTTCTGATAGTAATTTTGTTCAATCCCCGATAGTCTATACAAGGACGTAAGGTACCGTCTTTCTTTTCTACAAAAAAGAAACCCGCCCCCGCCGGAGAAGAAGACTTTCTAATAAATCCCTTGTCTAAATTCTCCTTGATATATTCCTCTAAAACTAAGTTTTCCTTGGTGGATAGAGGGTATACCGTACCCCTGGGAGGCATAGTACCAGGGAAAAGTTTAATAGAACAGTCATAAGACCGGTGGGGAGGTAAAGTATCCGCCTTACCCTTGTCAAATACAGATTTGAGGTCTAGATATTGTAATGGTATCTGAACGTCTGTGGATTGAGAAGTGTTAGCATAAGAGTTTACGGGGCAAACAGAAGTAACTCTCTGCAGACATTCTTCCCTACAACCCATACCCCAAGAAACGATTTCTCCACCATCCCAGTCAATCTGAGGGTTGTGTCTCTTGAGCCAAGAATATCCTAGAACCACTGGGACTGCCGGGGAGGAAATTAACAGAAGGGAAATCAACTCTTCGTGGAAAATACCAACAGTAAGCTTAACGGGTTCGGTCTCATGGAATATTACTGGTTCAGATAAAGGTCTACCATCTATGGCCTCAACGGCCAAGGGTGTATCTCTCAATTGGAATGGGATACAATGCTTATTAGCGAAAGTTTGGTCTATAAAGCTTTCTGCTGCTCCAGAATCTAATAATGCCATCGTAGCAATAAACCCCTTTTCCCAAGCTAGAGAGACAGGAATCAGAAGCCTATGGTCTTTTTTATTATGCATAGAGGACAGTAATGAAACACCCAAGGCCCGTCCTCTAAGGGAACTTAGGTGCGAGCGTTTCCCGGACGATTAGGGCAACTAAGACGTAAGTGACCTCTCAGCCCGCAGTATAAACAGAGACCCTCCCTTCTCCTGTACTGTCTCTCAGCCTCAGATAAGCGAGTATTACCTATTTGCATAGGTTCTGGTGGAGTAGGATTATAGGAGTCAGGGTTCTGAAATGAGGGAGCGAGTCTTACAGGAAGTCTAGTAACTCTTTCCCGAGTGTTCTGCCTCTGTCTCATGCGTTCATCTATTCTGGAAATGAAGGATATTAAATCCTCTAAATTTTCCGGAAGTTCTCTTGTGGCAATTTCATCTAAAATTTCATCAGACAACCCATTCAAGAAAACATCCATAAAAGCTTGTTCGTTCCATTTCACTTCTGCTGCCAATGATCTAAACTCTAGAGCATATTCTACAAGGGTCCTATCTTGTTGTTTAAGGCGTAACAGGGATCTGGCCGCATTAATCTTCCTCCCTGGGGGGTCAAAGGTTCTTCTAAAAGCCGTGACAAACGCAGTGTAGTTGTAGACTAAAGGATTGTCATTCTCCCAAAGGGGATTGGCCCATCTAAGTGCTTTATCTATTAGCAGGGTTATAATAAAGCCTACCTTAGCCCTGTCAGTGGGGTAAGCCCGGGGTTGTAGTTCGAAATGTATACTTATCTGGTTTAAAAAACCACGACAAGCATCAGGCGAACCCCCATATCGTAATGGTGACGTGACATGGGAAGATGCGCCTACAGTGGCTACTTCCAAACCAGTACTTAGCGAGTGGCTAGCAGTGGAACGTATTTCTTCAGACTGGGTACTGGAGCGTGTCAACAAAGTTTGTAGCGCTAAAGCCATTTGGTCCATTCTATGGTCCATGGCCTCAAATCTGGGGTCAGGAGGACTAGCACCTGCAGGATCCATCTGGCCCTGTCGTAATGTCAGGAAACTGACAGGGATCCAATACGCAGAGTGCGCACAGAAGGAGGTACGTATACCGGACCTTAGAATGGCCGGACTAACGTAAGGACAAGCAAGAATAGTCAAAAGGTAAGCCGAGGTCAAGGGAGCCGGAGGACAGGTAAGCGAGATACAAGCCGAGTCAAAGGAGAGGAGAGGACAACAGGACAAAAGACAAGCAAGGGTCAAAACCGGAAACACAAGATAAAGAACGCGCTGAGTGACTAGCAAGCTAGAACCACGACAGGGCAATGAGCAGTAGTAAAGGTTTCCTTTAAATACCCTGTACCTAAATAGAGACCACGCCCCCAAAAGGTCCGGAATAGCGGTTCCCGGCACTTTATGCAAATGCCGACGTCATGACGTCGACGCTAGCCGTCGCGTCATAAAAGGGGGAGGAGCTAGCGCGGCCGGCGCGAAAACGGCCGGAATATGCCGAAATGCTAAGGGAAGGGAGCCCCTAAGCAGAGAGGATGTCCTCCCTGGATACATCACCAACAGGTACCCTGACACTCTGATTGCATTCCTTTTAAGAAGTTACCTAGTGAGCAAAGTGCTGGAAGGGAGTGAAATTGTTTTTTTTTCTTGCATCTTTTAGAAGGGTTTCTTTGAAAAGCTTGGAGGAGGAGGATGTGGATTATGAAGAAGGAGATAAGCCGTATCCCATGTCCTTCAATCCCGTGGGGTGCTGTTAATTGTTATAGCTGTTAACCACTTCATCCAACGAGTCAGTAATTAGATCAGACTGGGTTAATTAGTTTAGCTCTGGAATCCATTCTGCTCTCCGGATAAAATATATATTTTTTCATTCCCAGACGTGATATGAAGTTAAAATGACTTACACCCAGCCAATTACCTGCTGGCACATTTATTACACTAAGTAGGTCACTGTTGTAATTTGCGATAGTGATTTTTTTCCGCAGGATTTACATGGACGGAACATTTCTTACTAGATATTGTACAGTTGATATTATCTATAACACAATGACAAGCACAAACGTGAAGTAAAATCAACATTTCTTTTGAGATACTCTTTGTGCATCCACTGCTTTTTTTCATCAAGCTAATGCCAGGTAAAAAAAATGGATGATTGAAAGAACACGATGCCAAATTTACCAGTACAAAATGACCAATTCAAAGTTTTGAAGTTGTTATGGTACCTGGCGTCTGTATGTGCAGTGTTTTGGTTATAAAAGGCTGCATGCATGTAACTCCACCCCCAGCAGTGTCATTGGGGTGTCATAAGTCAACCAGGAATTAGAGTTGAAGGGTAGCTGATGTCAATTTTGTGTACATTTAATTGCACAGAATTGCATTCAGTGACTGAATGTGGTCAGATGATGCTATCAGCCAATGAATCTTCTGTGACTATGCAACCCTGCATGTCCCCAGACCACCAGGGACCATTGAAGCCCAGCAGTCCTGGGTAAGGGGCAAACCATTGTTAAACAGTTTGCTTCATTACTGGGGACCAGGCCACAATGCCCCTGGCACCATAACCACTACAGAAGACTGTATAGATTATCATACTTGGACTAACCCCTTAAAGTAACAATCCGAGCACCATAACCACTACAGCCATGACAATGCTGGATTGTGATGTATGAATACTCTTGCCAAAATATTTTTATATTTACAGGGTTAAACTAAACTTATCTCCATTAACAGCAATTTTGCACCATGTGTTCTTCAGTTTTTAAAGGAATGTCCAAGCACCATAACCACTACAGCCCATACTAAGAACTCACAAAATGTTAGTATGGTTTGGCCAATTCCCTGGTTCCTGTCAGGTACCCATTGGTTTATCCTCCACACCCAGTAGATGGAACCCAGATCATTTGTCAAACCATACTAAAACTGAAATTCGAAGTAAATTAGAAATAGATTTCAAATTCAAGCCAAATTAACCAAATTGTGAAAATGATCTAAATGAGTAAAGTTTTCTTCTGAATTCAGAGAGATTTTTACTGTCCTTGTGCTGTCATTCTACAAATCCAACACTCACAGACTCACCCCAGGCTAATCAATAACATGTGTAAAAATAAAGAGTAATGCAGTGATATTCAAAGTATAGATCCAAAACCCCTCAATGCTGAACCCAGAAACAGGCTCAGGGGGGAGTAGGGAGAGTAAAGAGAAAGTAGGTAGTATGGATATTATTATTTTCAGACTAGGGACCCTGTAGCACAGTGAATAGGGGATATGTTTTCACATAAAGTCAAATTTTAAACTGTATTTCTGACCAATCTGCTCCTTCGCAGCCGAGTTATTCCCACTGCTGCAGACTGTGCAGGAATGCTGTCGGTTTTCCCCTGAAACGAGCTCTTTATTCTAGAAATCACCAGTTTGACGAATGAAGGTGTTACTGATCTTTTGCCCTGGGGGAGGGGATGTGCTATTAGGGTCCTATAGTCAGAAGGAACTCCCATCATTTCAGCCAGCCTGACAGTAATGTGGATGGGATCAGTGGCTGAGGATAGTGTAAGCTGTGTCCATGGTTATGTCTGTCTCAGGATGATAGGAGTTGTAAGCGATACACATTCCCTGCTGTGCCTTGGCCTGGCTGAGGATGATAGGTATGGGAGCGGTGGTTATGTCTGTCCCAGTATGATAGGCCAGGCCTGGCTGAGGATGATAGGTGTGAGAGCTGTGGTTATGCCTGGCTGAGGATGATAGGCCAGGCCTGGCTGAGGATGATAGGTGTGAGAGCTGTGGTTTTGCCTGTCCCAGTATGATAGGCCTGGCCTGGCTGAGGATGATAGGCCTGGCCTGGCTGAGGATGATAGGTGTGAGAGCTGCTCTGCCAGGATCCCCATTCCTTCCTTTCACTGAAATCAAACTGCAGGTCTTGTGCGCTCTGACCAATCAGCGGCCAGGTGAGGTGAGTTTCCGCCAATCAGGTGAGGCCTGGGGCAGGCACATTGTGACGTCACGGCAGAGTTCCCCATTCGAACGTTCGGCGAGCCGAGTGATACATTGTGTCCGCAGCCATGGCCCTGACCGGGGGGCCCGTCCCCAGCACCCAGGGGCTCCCCCGAGCCTTCCTGCACAGCCTGCGGACCCTGTTCGACATCCTGGACGACCGGCGGCGGGGCTCGGTGCACATCCAGGAGATCGAGAGCCGCTGGCAGGGGGCCGAGACCCGGGAGCTCCCCCTCGGGGTGCTGCACTGCCTGCGGAAGGTGGCGCCCCCCGACGGATACCTGACCTTCGATCGCTTCGTCCTCGGACTCCGCACCTCAATGCTCAATAGCCAGAACCGGGAGAACTGCCAGGCGGGGGCCCCCAGGGGACCGTGCAAGGGCCACGGCGCCAAACCTGCCCCTCTGGGGGTCCGCTACCTGAACGGGGTCCGGGAGAACCCCCCGCAGTGTGAGAGCTCGGCCGCCGCCGCCTATCGGGGAGCCCCGGGACTGACACACGGTAATGGGGGGCTCGCATTCTGGGGGGGGGGATATGATAGTATGGTGCATGTTCGGGGGGTGCGCAGGGGCTTAGGGGAGCGCTCTGGGGGTGCACAGGGATTCGGGGGGAGCACAGGAGCAGCTGTATGTTTTCACGGATTATCACAGTTTGCAAATATTTCAGTGTTTCCATTTATTGTTGTTGGGAATTTTTGCAGACAGGTTTTTTGTTTTTCTCCCACATGCTCACTGACCACCTGTGTGTATCCTTCATTTCTGTCAATATTGTCTAATTACAGCAGCACCTAACCAAATCTATCTCATGTTAAACCTACAATGCTCATTGTATCACATTAACCGGCCAAACGTATTGTGCTGTAAACTGGAATCAGGGTTCTGTTTGGGTAAATAATTCTAAATAAAATGATGTAATAGAAACAATCCACTCTGCAGTTGGTGCAATAAATATCGTTTGGAACTGACATCTGATTCTCTGCAGATTGATTTCCGAATGGTAAAATGTCGATATAGAATTAGAACTTCAATCCTGACATATCTGATGTTTACATATTGCCAATGTCATATCAGCCCCTGGCTACTCAGACATTAGTGAATGACCTCCCAGGGCTATTGGAAGAAGTCACAGTGACTGGCAAACTGACTTGTTTTTTCCATTTTGCCCTGACACTTGAAATTCACTCTCAATTTCAGACAATTCTCACTTTTTCATAAATCTAGAGAACTAGTAGATATTTTTGACCAAAAGGTGTTTTTCAAACCATCCATTTTTGCAGCATTATAAAGAAAGTGTATGGTGTGTGTGTGTGTGTGTGTGTGTGTGTGTGTGTGTCTGTCTGTCAGTGAGTGGGTTTAGGACTGTTTTTAACTGAACATACCCTCTCTCTGCACAGGGCTGTGTCCTGTAAAGTTTTATTAATTGTGTTTTCTTGTTACTGTTAATTTTTATACAATCAATAGAACAACTTGTGGTTGAGTTTCCCAGAGCTTTGTTGGGTTTCCAGCAATGAAAGGGTTAGTTCTGAATTCCATGTCTAGGGTGGGCTCTGCAAACACCAGCCCCTCCACCTATTTGTTAAAGCCTTGGCTTCCTTCACTTCTGCATGATGTTACTTTTAGCCCCCAGCCCCCTCTAGTTAACCCTATTATAGGACTTACTACTTAATCTGACTTTTTGGCACACACATAGACCCCCTGATCTTCCAATTACACCTTTTTAATGTCATTATAGTTGATTAGATATTAAAGTAATTACAATACTGAAGCTCTAATTAAAGAGAAAATGTTCCTTTGGAAATCACGTCACTGGATAAAACATTAAAAATCACCTATAACTTGTGTTAACCTTTTAACATGCTCTTTTTTTTTTGTTTGTTTTTAAATGTATACTAATAATATATCAAATTATCATATCACAATAGTCATCTCCCGTGTTACTAGACTACAACTTCCATAATTCTTCACTAGCCTGAATTTGCCAGGGAATTGTGGGAGATGTATGCTAAAGGATGGAGTACCAATGGAGGAGATCTTCGGATTACAAGGTTGACTAGTAAATGCTAAGCACCGAGACTGGAAGGTCAATCCCAGGGTTTTGGGCAGTGATATCTGTGTGTACTGGGACCTCGAAGGACATTTAGGGGTTTAGACTATGAGAGGAGAGCTTGTTTTGTCTTTTGTGGTTCTTAATCTTTCTGAAAAGATTATTTCTTCCACCCTGGAAAGATGGACCGGGTATTCTTCTGTTTATCCATAATATCACATGTGTAGATCTAAAGTCAGATGATTTGTACAGAGGTTTGTAAACCAATCTTAGAACTGCAGTGAATCGAAAAAACAAATGGGACTATTTAGGCTGAAATGTTAAAACTTTGGCTAGTGCGGAGTTGGAGACCTTTATTTTTTTTTATTTTATTTTTTTTATTCCTCCTGTTTTGACTACATTTTGCATCTAGGGAAATGTAGTTCAGAAACATGTAAGGTTCCAAGATTAGTGATCACTGTTGAAACCTTCTTTTTTTTTTTTCTGGGAGAAAAAAGGCACTCTTTACATTACTGCAATTGTCCCTGTAGTGGCGGTCACCCAGACGGTCACTAGATGTGCTTCCTGGGCAGCACTGACCTTCAGCGTCTAAACACTTTGGGGAACCTAAACTTTCCTCATAGTAATGCATTTCCACGAGGAGATGCTGATTGGTGCAGTGTGGCCTTCTCCTGCGCATGCACAATAGCCTCATAATGCTTTCCTATTGAAAAGTATTGATTTGGCTGAGATAATAGTTTGCTGTCTGCAAAGGATATGGGGCAGGGGCAGCTAACCTGTGGCAAACCTGTGTTGTGTTGGATAAAAGGTGAGTTTTATTACATTTTTAGAGTTCCTGGGGGGGGGGGTTAGAGTGGCCTAAATGGCGATTACTGCTATAGTGACCTGAATACACGTCTTTATCCCAGTCACTAAAGTGATAGTGTTTCTTTAATATATTTAAAATTGGGGTGCATTTATTGTTTTGGTATCGGGATTCTTTTCTCTCTTTGTATTCTAATTGTCTGGTGTGTAATCCAATGTATGCATGTACTTATCCTCTATTCCTTTCCTGGACTAATAGTTCTGATGTGTTTTAGTACCTGTGTGAGCAATGGGATTTGCTAGATTTAATATTATGTTGGAGATATGCAAGGCTTTTCCCTGCAGGTAACAGAATGGTTACACTGAGCAAGTTTGGTTCTTGTATATTAATACTGTGTCTTCCTTTACATTCGTAGTTTAATTGTGTGTGTGTGTGTGTATATGTGTGTGTGTGTGTGTGTGTGTATACACACACACACACACACACACCAAAATTTTTTAAAATAAAAAAAATAAATGAACACAGGTTATAAGTGATTATAAATGTTTTATTCAGGGATGTAAGTTACAGAGAAGTGACCGTTACCCTTTAAATCCAGTTCCGTATGCTGTAATTGTTTTCATTTAGGCCACTTTTTTTTGTGTGTTTTTAACAATATTTAAATAGAATTTCTATGCAAAAAAACAGAAGTTACCATGTTTACAGCTATCCCAGCCGGTCTGACGCCATCACGCCAATGGATGGAGCCAGGAACGTCTTACAGGGAACAAAAACGTAATAGATACTTTGCGGGGTTTTGTTTTTTTCACTTTTTATTTTTTTTTTATTTTTATTTTTTTTATATATATATATATATATATATATATATATATATATATATATATATATATATATATATATATATATATATATATATATATATATATATTCTTCAGTTTATGAAATAAAGGGTTTCACTCTCTGCATTAATCTGGACTTAATTTCTGCAATTGTTTCTATATTCCATGGAATATCACCTGTCATGTAAAAATGTTATCAAAGTCTGTTTGTACAATGTGAAATGAGAGATATTGAGTTTTATGGGTGAATATTTCTAAAGAAAGACCAGATTTTATGCACTAAACAGAGAATTGTCAACTGATGTGTGCAGGAAATGCAATTTTAGGCCAAATTAGGTGATCTGGAATGATTTTATTTTATGCTACTATTTTTCCCTGTTAGAAATTCCATAGTCCATTGCTGAAGGTTCCCAGTGCAGGGATTGTCCTTGATGTCTCCAGAGAGGTGGTTTCTCCAGAACATTCAGGGTTAATCTGACTAATCATGTTAAATGGGATGCTATCCTTCCCTGCCGGCCAGGCTCTTATAACACTTCCTTGCTGTTTGTTCTTTATAATCTTGCTTTGGTGGGACAGGAGTTTACAAGAAGAGTCTTGTTTGTTTTCTTTAAACCTCTTAACTGTGAAATGCAAGAATGCCTTTTAATAAAGACTGGTTATATGGGATGTGTTTAAAACCACACGCCCTGCGTCCTTTGGACTTGTATAGCATCTGTGACAAGCCTTATAGATTTCATAAAATAGTCTTTAAGCAAGCTCTGCCCTGGGACTTAAAGGGACACTCTACTCCCCAAATTCATAATAAATAAAATCACTCTTTAGTAGATAAGCTCCCAGTGAAAACATGCATGCATTTAATTATGCTTTTAAAAAAAATAAGGCCCTGCGCTCAAACTCCTACTACGCTTGAGAGGCAGCAATGACTATAGTATAATAAGCCCCAATACTTGGAATAAAACCCAAAGAAGAAGAAAGTAACTTGCGCGCTGTCCCAAATCCCTATGCATATTTAAACAATTTAGTATCAATCCAATGGCCAATTTAGTATCAATCCAATGACACATCTAGCCAAAACCTCTCAGATGAGTCCTACACCAACAATGGTTTTTACACTTTTCTGAAACCCCTAGACGTTTAACAGTGAACACATTGGGTGGGTGGCAGTACTGTAACATGGCTGTGTGATATATATAAATACCCCTCTCTGTCTCATTATTATAGATTTTACCTTTTGGCCGAAGACAGCCAAGTGAATTGTTAGTGTGGTACTCACCTAAGTTTTGCCTTGATGTGGCAGATGAGCTTCTACTTAAACCTGCAGTCTTCTAAAACCTGTTAGAAGTCCGCCCCTTCTAACACCGCCTAGACATTCTGTGACTGTCCAATCACAGACTAGCTCAATGAGAAGTCTGCTGCATCTTGAGTTTATCTCCGCTGAGTTAACCAAACCAGGAAGTAACAGCACCTGTTGTCTGAATCACAGACAGTTGTAACAAGGTTCATTTATAAAAGTGTCAATTCTATTTCTTCACACAGTAAAGCATTTCAGCAAGATAACGTGCTTTAGGTGTCTGGAGTGACCCTTTAAGACAAGCTATTCAGAGGTTTATTCATTTAACTAGCAAAGCTGAAGAATTGAAAAGAAAATTACATGTTGGGCTAGAATACCAGAACGAAAAAAATGTCAGTTGTGTTCCCCACCAAAAAAAACTTTGCTAATGGGGGGGGGGTCTATAGTTCACCACTATTGAAAATCCGCTGAATAATCCCCTCCATGTGAATGATTACTGGCTACTGCAGGTAAAATATCTACCTGAGCAAGTCCAGAGCAGGATTGTTGCATCATACCGTCTTAGTGTAAGAGAGATGTCTGTGAGAAGCAGGCTTGTTAAAGCAATATAACCGCCCCCGAGAACAAGGGTAAATAGCAAGTAAGGGAGTATACAGAATAATCAATGTGTATCTGTCAGAAATACACTCAAACACACTGGCTGCTGATAATGTACTTTGTGTGAGCAGGTCCAATGTCTGTAAACGGCATTATTCAGCATGTTTAAAGAGTAAACCGTCGCCTATTTAATTTTAGCAAAACCTAATGGCCAAATGAAAGTTAGTTAATAGTTTTCTTAATTTTTACTATCCTGTTTCTTTTATTTTCATTTGAAAGCTTTGCTCAGCAAAGTATATAAATTGGTACACTTGCAGTGCTGCTATCTATGGGTTTGTTCTGTTGTGCGAGCCTGGGGCATCCTAGGTCAGCAAAGTTAGGGCGATAGGGAAGTTGAGCAGAGGAAGTTTTTATTTTTTGTTTTGTTTGTTTTTGCTTTGCCTTAACTGCATCTTTATCCCAGTAAAAGGATAAAGGAACAAGCGACTGTCACTTTTCTTAAAGTTCCTCGTTAAAATACAGTGCGACATATTTCTCCCCAAATAATCCGGTTCTGCAGCGCTTGAGTATCAGGTCTGATTGAATACGTTGTGCAGAGAGTGTCCTCTTCGTAACTGATTCTGGAAATAAAGCAATCTGTTAATCGGCTGTTACCATGTCGATATTTATCGAAGTGTTCCGATTTGAAAAGTTTCGCATTTTTAACCCTTACGGGTGGAGGCAGTTGTCCAAGTTTAGCATCAAACAAAACCTATGTGCACTATGTGTTGCACAGTAATTTAAAGAGTTACTTCAACCCTTGTTGTCTAGACTTGTTAAAGTGACACTGGTCACCCAGACCACTTCAGGTCAATGAAGTGGTCTGGGTGCAATGCCCCTCAGGTTTTAACTCTTCAGATGCAAATATAGCAGTTTCAGAGAAACTGCCATGTTTACATTTGGGGTTAATCCAGCCAATAGTGGCCGTCTTCCAGACAGCCACTAGAGGCGTATCTGCGACGCTGGAGGCACATTTCACATTAGGAAAGCATTGAGAAATGCGCGCGCGGCACTTGCTTGTTTTGATGTTCACATCCCCAATGAAGGCACTTTCAGTGGTGGACAGGGGTCGTCATAAGCACTTTGAACGTTCTGTGGCCTCACAGCCCCATACGCTGGAAACTGCGATGCACTGTGTGCTCTGATACCTTTCTACCATGACAAGCATTAAGATTTTCGGCAATATGAGCTACAGTATCTCTTCTGTTTCTCCAGACAGGATAACATTTGCTCCCTACTTGCATTAATGAGCCTTGGGCACCCATTAAAGGACCACTATAGTGCCAGGAAAGCATACTCGTTTTCATGGCACTATAGTGCCCTGAGGGTGCCCCCACCCTCAGGGTCCCCCTCCCGCCCGGCTCTAGAAAGGGGAAAAGGGGTAAAACATACCTTTTTCCAGCACTGGACGGGGAGCTCTCCTCCTCCGTTCCTCCCCGTCGGCTGAATGCGCACACGCGGCAAGAGCTGCTGATTTTCACAGTGAGAATCACGCAAGCGCCTCTAGCGGCTGTCAATGAGACAGCCACTAGAGGCTTTGGGGGAAGGCTTAACCCATTTATAAACATAGCAGTTTCTCTGAAACTGCTATGTTTATAAAAAAAAAAAATGGGTTAATCCTAGCTGGACCTGGCACCCAGACCACTTCATTAAGCTGAAGTGGTCTGGGTGCCTAGAGTTGTCCTTTAACCTTACGCCGGTTGTCCTTCCTTGCACCACTTTGGTAGGTACCAACCACTACATACCGAATGCACGCCACAAGACTTGTTGTTTTGTCCAGCCATCACTATTTGGCCCTTGTTATAGTCACTCATATACACTATACATGGAATACAAGAACTGACTGCTCACTTGCTGTCTAATATATCCCACTCCTTGACTGGGTCCATTGTCTCGATCTATTCAATGTAATTCACTTCACCTGGCACTGGTTTAATGTTGTGTATGAATATTGAATAAACAGTGGAAACTCAACCTGTTTTATGAAATGTTCTGCTGTCTTTAATTTTTATATAAAAAATGTCAGATGACATGATAATCCAGTTTAGTCAAAGCACGGCCAGGGCACACATTGCAAATGAAGAAGAGAAACGGTTTAATTTCTCCTCCACACTGTCTACTCTCTATGTTGACTGCCAGGAGTAATGGACTGAGCTTATAACAAATAGTAACAGGGAGTGAAGAAAGAGATCCAGTTTCTGTATAAAGCAGTGCAGGTTTTATTTATCACACCCAGGGCCGGCACTACCTGTTAGGCGGACTAGGCAGCGGCCTAGGGCACCCCTTGGGAAGGGGCGCCGCCAGGAGCGCCGGCCCCCCTCATGCTGCAGCCGCCCGAGCGCTCTGTAGAGAGCCTCAGGCGGCTGCAGCTTTGCCCTGGCTGGTGCGTCCATGAGGGCGCAGCATGAGGAGAGGGGCAGACAGGAGGGAAGCGATCAGCGCTCCCTCCTGTCACTCCCTCACTGTAGCGTGGCCGAGCCCTCTATGGTCCGCGGGTACAGGGAGCATCTGTCTCCTGTACCCGGCCGTACTAAAATTGAGTGAGCACTTCCTTTTAGTCCGGCCGGGTACAGGAAACAAAAGCTCCCTGTACCCGCGGACCATACAGGGCTCGGCCACGCTACAACAGAGGTGGGGGGGAGAAAGAGATTGACATCCATCACACACACACACACAGAATCACACACAATGCACCCCTTACACACAAAGACAATGCACCCCTTGCACACACAAAAAGCTGTGTAAAGGGCCCCAAAAAATGGAGCTGCTTCCTGTTCTCCCACAGTTACAAACAGCCTCCAGAGAGCCTGTTCTGCACCAGACCAGTGGAGCCAGACTGCAGCTAGAGCCCATCAGCATCCTCATCTAGTTGTAAGTAGGCAATCTAGTATATTATTTGTGGCACTAATCTCTAATTTACTTCACATTAAACACTATAGTCCCCAGAACCACTGCAGCTTAATGTAGTGGTTCTGGTGTCTATAGCCTGTCCCTGCAGGCCTTTTAATGTAAACACGGTGGCACTGCAGCACTGGCGTTAGTTAACATGGCAGATCATATGGGTGGGGCATTGTGATGTCACATGGGGGGGCGGCAAACTTTACTTTTGTCTAGTGTGGCAAAAATCCTTGCATCGGCCCTGATCACACCTCAAAAATACACATTTGTTTAATATAGGTAAAAGTAAACCGAATATAAATAATTCTGAGAATTCCGTTCCTCTTTACGGTTAGAATAAAATGTTAGACTAGATTTATCACTTGCTCCCTGACGAAGGTGCAATGGCGCTGCACCGCAATGTGCTGAAGTACGCCTGGAGACAGAGTCACTGGTGTAAAAATTAATAGGAATTGAACCCCTTGCTTAAGTAGGCCCAGGAATCTTACCTGGAGACTGAGATATAGTTGTTGACTTTTTTTAAGGACTAGGATCCTGTGAATCTGTCCCAGGTTTATACCTGAAGACAGAGGTGTCTTGTAGGTCGCAGATTGTTTTCCTTGTGACTGAGGTTCCAATCTAATACATCCCGTCCCAACCTCCTTGGCACATGGACATTTAAAGCCAGTGAGCTTTAGACCTATATAGGGTAAAAGTGTTTATTTTTTATTAAGTGTTCTTGCATAGCAAGACCACTTAATGTTATCTCACATATATATTATTAAGTGTTCTTGCAAGAACACTTATTGTTATCTCACATATATATTATTCTTATTATAGCCAAATTTGCCACCCTAACTCCTCCCACAGTGTTTACACTACATAGACCAAAATTTACCAAAACGTGCAGATTGTTCCCGATCGGATTGCTATTACTTTGTGGAACGTTTCGCCGAATGGTTCACGGAATATCGTCGTTCTTGTGGCGCAATTTGTCCCATAGGAATGAATGGCAAAGCTAGAGTGGGAGCTGGCAAAAGCTGAAAAATCAGGACATGATTTCTAAACTGCCACCACTCCCTTATTTTCAGGCCCACCTACACAAATCTTATATCAAAACGTTCAGCTATCCCTGCTGCCACTAAACATGTCAACGGCTAAGCCGTAGTCCTGATAGTTTTCACAATATGACCATTTGTTTGCAACCAACGCCGTCCATTGACATTCATTGAAACTTCACTCTGCAAAGCTCAAATTTGAAGTGCAATTTCTAAACTGCGACTGTGCCTTCAATTGTAATACTTCAGAGACATACTATGCATCAAAATGTAGGTCTGGGTCTTGTGATTCTCACAATATAAAGCTCTTCGCTGTAGGATTTATAGTTTTTAAAATACGACCGTTTGAAGATGGCAACCGCCAAAATACTCTGACCTGTCAAGGCTGCAGCAGCAAGTGATGTCATAGACAGGGCCTTTTGAACACCTTCTAATGTTTTATAAATGTATGGTTTAATGTAACTGTGCAACAACGTTGCAATTAAATGTGTTATATAAATGATAACAGTTACGCCGCCCACTCCAGTTGAAGACTACAGGTGGAGGCAAGAACACTTCACACAATTTCCCCAGAAATTGTAGCTTTTCTAGTTTATAATTATTCTCTTGAGAAGACTAATCACATGGGTTTAATTAGATACCACAAAGGGATTAGTACTATAACTCCCATCCCAGCTGGGTGGAGGTCTTCCTATTTAATATTATACTAAAGACACTAGGCCACATTTGTTTTCTGTGATATCCAAGTAGACCACGTGGGTCTGCTTGCACTGGCCCCGTCCACGATCTGCCTCCTTGGCTGAACTCAAAATTGATGATCTCAATGCCAATCACAATGCTTTTCCCTTCCTCCTAGAGATGCATTGAATCATAGTGTCTCCATATTGGGAGGGATTGGAGTGTATTATCATGGGATTTTGTGTATATACTTTTTCTATCTCGCATATCCTAATTTTACACTAGATTCTCCGACCCTGCACACACAGTCTGACTATCTTTCTATATATTCATTATAACGAAGGGTTATGCCCTGTTCAGTTTTAGTGCTGACTGGACATACTTTTAGTATTTTCACTCATGTTAGATTTATTAATAACCCTATGTTTGAATAAATCTATATTTATTTATTTTTCCCCCCCCCGGTTTATATGCTCTCCCTCCTGCTGTGTTCTGAGTATTGTACAGAGAGCAGTCAGTTTATCTTTTTTATACTAAAGGGCGATCTACATTACAAATTGCCAAGAGGAATAAATGAACTTTTTGATGCAATTTCTTGAAAGTTAATTTTGTGTCCATTCCCCTTTAATCACCGGAATTCTCTCTCTCTCTGTATTTGTCTTTGGGGGTTCACTTGCAATGTCATGATTAATGATGGATTCACTTTAATGCCAGATCAGATTATGACAGACTGTCTGTTTTCTATTACTGGGGTTTATCGGCCAAATCTTTGCGGTTTATAAAGGAGTGTCTGGGATTTAGAACTAGATCGAATTTGGGGTCAGGAGTTGACACTCCCTCCGTTACTGTGTTTTGATGGTTCAGCTGTCGTCCTTAGCGAGCCCTCAATAATCTGCTGCTTACTTTAGCTAAGAATGTCAACAAATGGCTTTTTTCGTGGCATCTTGTAAATTCTCCTTTCTTTGTTTCTTTTCCTGGCAGGAGGGGAAGTGAAGCCCATGTGTCGATCGCACAGCGAGACCACCAGCGAGGGCCTGGCAGACCAGTGCCGGCATCAGCGTAGCCGAGGGGAGCACCGAAGGCACACGATCACCAACGGGGTGGATTATAGCGTGGTGAGTGCGGCACAGGTCTGGCACCCTGCCCTGGGGTAATGGGCTTCTCAAATGGCTTAATCATGAGATCATTTCTTTTCATGGACGGATAGTTTTATAAACACGCTCTACATCTTGTGCTAATGTTTTGCAGATCTGCTCCGTGGTTGTTGTGGTGGTGTGTTTTTTTTTTTTTTTTTGTTTTTTTTAAGAAATAATTTTTATTAAAGAGTTTCGTTAACATTGACTGTCTCCTGGCACAGACAAGTCAAACAACCATTTCATCTACGCTGAATAGTGGCTATAAAAAGCTTGTCTGTCTGGGCCTCAGGTTCTGCGGGTTACATTCTAACCTTGAAAAAGGGCTTATTATATGATCCACCTGAATAAAACAAACACGGATGTGTTACTTTATTTTGTATCTAGACATCTGAGAGACCTTTAGCATTGTGATAAGCATATGGCAGTAAGATTTTTATTGTAAAGTGCTGCGGAGTAAGCTGGCGCTATATAAATACTAATAATCTTGATTTCCCCTATTTCTCCTCATTATGCTCTGCTGAATCCAGCCCCCCCCCCAGGGAATGTGAGCTGTGTGCAGGCAGTGGGCATGGTGCATAAACAAGTAGCTTTATTTGCCTTTGAAAAGTGTCCTTTGCATGCAGATAGCTCATCCGTATGCATCACAAGCTGCTGTCTGCAGGTCTGGTCTGCAGGTGGTCCCCACGGAAGGAGGGGAGTGCTGGGGGCTGGGTATTTACTGAAGACGTGCTTTTATAGAAGGAAAAACATGTCCGCTCCATGGAATGTAACCCGAAGCTTATCAATATATTATCATTTTTGGAGGAAAAAATAGGAAACTTTAAAATATAAAAAAATTATTCAGAGAAGAAATTCATTATGTACATCAGAGCAGCTTGCAGGCAAGGGGTTAAAGCAGAGATGATGAAAAAGGTAGACCTTGAACTGTTATAGAACTTAAAGTTCCTCAATGATGTGCCAGTCTTAATGCTCCATAACCGGTAAAGAATCACGGGGTCCTTAGTACTGCAGCGGATGGGTATCTAACATTTAGCTGACCCTGGCTTAACGTATAGGACAAAAGTCAGTTCCTGACAAAAAAATAACTGATACTCCGGTTGTGAGGTATATAGAGCAGGGGTAGAGAACTTTGTCAGAAAATTAAGGGAGATGTAGCCCGCATCTGGAGTGCCAAAGGCTGTTTATTTTCGGTATAGCCTCCAATTCCTTGCATCCTTCTATAGGACACTGTGCTGTTAACAGAAATATATTCCCTCTCTACACTCCCGTAGGGCTATAAAACATTTAGTGACATATTTTGCTATGTAGATGTTTTTCCGGTAGCACAATTTTGGGGACACTGACAGGTGATACATCCCTCTCCTTTCATAATACCTCTTATCATTTTCTCTCAAGTACCCCTGACCCAACAACCTCAGCCTAACCCCCCTCAACTCAGGAGGAACCTTAATTCTATTGACCTCTAGCAGCTGTCAGCTGATATTGATTCACAACTGCTATCCATCCCTTCCCTCACTGGCCATCTCCACATATAACACTACCCTCACCTCTGCCTTGAACGCTGCAGCCCTGCTCAAACAAGCACCTTGAGGAGGACTGTAGCGGATGTAGTAGTACAATCCACGATATCTCCGCAGGTAGTCCTAGTCAGAATACAGGTAACGTAAATATAATCCCTTTTTCCCAATGACTGGACGACACACAGTTTGGGAGTCAACTTTTATTGCACCACAACCGTTTATATAAGTCTCCATGCAAGGGGTTTCCTTAATAGTATTTTAGGGGTTTTTCCCTGGTGGACTCTGGAAAACTTAACATGCAATAATATCTCCCATCATGCTTCTCTGTACTGGAGAGATAATTGCGTAAGAGTACACCTTTTAATTACATTCTCTCCGTACATAAAAGTATTCAATATAACATAAAAATACATAACTCCCGAAATATACATCTGAACTTGCCGAAAGACCTCATTCATTGAATGGCTGGGATCTGAGCGCACGATCTTGCGAAATACCGCTCAGATCCGTTCGTTAGAACAGAAAAAGCCATTCGAATGGAGTTATGGACCGGTCAGCCACGAGGCGCGAGCCCCAAAATAGTTCCAGGTATTTGGCTACTTTTACCGGTCTCCAAATGAACCAATCCATGCATTTACTGGCTAGTGCAGTATAATTAGTTTGTGGGGTTGATTTTACCGAATGCTGCTCTCTTTCGTCTAAAGGATCTGTCCATAAGAACGGCATGGAAGTCCAGCGGTGTTCACGAGGTCGAGTAGCCGATTTTGGTTCCAGGCACTTGAGGACCAAACACCGCTGGGCGTTCGCGAGCAAAGATGGCTGCGGCCACCCATCTTATCACTAGAGTTTTGCAGTTTATACAATGTTACCAGTGGTTAATTGGAGACACACGACTCCCTTGTGTGGTCTCCCATTCGGCAGTTTATTCATTTCACAAACAATTTGTCTCAATCTTGTTAGTGAAACTGGCATATGAAGGTCTATGAACTTTGCGTAAAAAGTTATACGAATGACCCCAGTCTTTTAGATGAAACAGTGGCTAGTTTTGCCACAAGGACACTCCCCCATGCATGGCCTACTAAATTACCACACCACCTGCAAAGATGCTCCCGTTGTGCTGAATGCTCCTGGAGGAAGTCATGCACCCAGTCAGACTTTCTCCATTATAGATTCATATTGTGTTCATAGAGCGCAGTCCTTGCCCTCACCAAACAGTCCTACTTTTCCTCCTGCAATCCCAGGTGTCTCTTTGATACCTTTAACTCTCTTCTTCACCCTGCTGTGGCCACCCCCCAAACTAACCTTACAGCCAATAGCTTTGCATGCTACTTTACTGACCAGATAGAACAGCAAGGTGGGGAGAATTCTTTTCTTAGCTGTTCACTTTCTCAACCACACGTTGATTATGCCTTTCCTACCCTTCAGACTTTCTCCCTGGCTACTGAACAAGAGGTGGCTGCACTGCTCCTTATCTCTCGCCCCACCACTTGCCCGTTTGATCCTGTCCCATCTTACCTTATCAGATCTCTCTTCCCCGTCTTGTGCCTTCCTTAACACACATCTTCAACTCCTCTCTCTCTCTTCTGGTGTTGTCCCTGCTGACATTAAACATGCCACTGTAGTACCTATCCTGAAAAAACATCTCTTGACCTGTCCTCCCCCTCGATCGTCCCAAATCTCTGCTCCCTTTTTCCTCAAAGCTTCTGGAAAGACTTGTCTTTACCCGCATGTTTCACTTCCTCCATTCCAACTCTCTCCTTGAACCTCTTCAATCTGGCTAGCGCCCTCTCCACTCTACTGAGACTGCTCTCATCAAAGTTACCTAATGACCTAATCGCAGCTAAATCCAAAGGCCACTACTCCATACTAATTCTATTTGACCTCTCTGCTGCCTTTGACAATGTTGATCATGCTCTCCTTCTTCAAAACCTTCAATCACTTGGTCTCTCTGATTCTGTCCTCTCGTGGTTTTCCTCTTATCTCTCCCAAGGCTCATTCAGTGTCTCCTTTTCTAATGATACCTCCTCCCCTTGTCTTGTCTCGGTTGGTCCTTGGTCCCCTTCTAGTTTCGCTTTATACTGCCTCTCTTGGCAAACTTATTACATCATTTGGATTCCTTTACCACCTGTATGCTGATGACACCCAGATATACCACCCCTACCCTGCCGTCCTGCAACATGTCACTGCTTGCCTTTCTTCCATCTCTGACTGGATGTCCTCCCGATTTCTGAAATTCAATTAACTTCATGGTCTTCCTAAAAGCGGTATTGCCCCGCTACAGTCTGTAATGAATGCTGCCGCCAGACTGATTTTCCTCTCTAGTCTGTCCTGTCACACATCACCTCTCTCAGTCCTTACATTGGTTTCCTATATCCTATAAAAGTCAATTCCTAGTGCTAACTCATACCTAGTAAGCATTGAACAATTCTAGCCCCACTTATATCTCTTCACAGTTCCATAGGTATGCCCTTTCTCGGTCTCTCCGCTCTGCACGTTACCTTCTCCTGTCTGCTGCTCGCACCCGTACGGCCAACTCGAGCTTGCAGGACTTCCCGCGGGCGGCTGCCTACCGCCATCAGACTCTTCACTCATTTAAGAAGTGTCTTAAAACCCATCTCTTTAGGAAAGCTTATGGCCTCCCAGAGTAACCCCTACCTTACATACCTGTGTCTCGCTCTCTCCTCCAGCTCTGCTTCACTCCCACCTTATTTGATTGCTATTTCCTGTCCTAATGTGTTTTATACCCCACCTCCTATAGACTGTAGCTTGTTTGAGCAGGGTTCCCTTCAATCTATAGTTTCTGTAAGTTTTCTTGTAATTGTCCTAGTTATAGTTAAACCCCCCCCTCTCATAATATTGTAAAGTGCTACCGAATCTGTTGGCGTTATATAAATGGCAATAATAATAGTAGTAATTACTGATCACACGGCTGTTTTATGCTGTCATCGCTAATTAAGCATGTTACTCCCAGGCTGGTATAAGGTCCTAATTTAATTGGTTCTTGTGGGATTTAGAAAATGTTTTTAAAAATCCTGCAAAGTTGATTTGTGAAGCAGGAGAGACACTAATGCATTAAACAGATGTCCCCTTCAAAGGTGTCTCCACCATGACCTTAACTGTATGAGTAGTCCTAATGTTCTCCAATCTTTTTGGTCAAAGATGCTCTGCCCAGACAGTCAGAAGGGCAAGTACAATAAGCCAATGTTTTGTGCATTTAAAACCAATACAAAGGTATTACTTCAAAATTATTCTACGGTAAGTTTGAGGTTAGCTGTTGTACTTTTAACATTTATACAGATTATCATTGTCCTGATTACCAGTAGTTGTTATCTTGTCCTCCAGCTGAAAAAAATGAAGGAATTGGAGCAAGATAAGGACTTTCTGATTCAGGGGCTGGAGATGGTGGAACGAGCTCGTGAATGGTACCACCAGCAAATCCACACTGTACAGGAGCAACAGAGAAACCTTGGAAAGACCCGAACGGTAAGCCTAAATGAAGACTTTTCCAAGAAGGACTTTATACGTGTCTGTGGGTTGGGTATTTTTTTTTTATATAAAAGAGTTCATCGGGGTAATTTCCAAACCCGAAGAATGCTTTTTATATATTACAGCTTCTATTTGTGGCAGCAGATGGTAGGTGGAAGGATAGTAAATATGCCATATTTCTGGGTGGTGAAGGAGTGATAAGCGTTCTACCTTGACCCAGAAAGCTGTAACTGGTGGATAAGCCCATGGGGCCATGATATAGTTCTGTTTGGGTTTATGTGCATTTCCAAGAAGCATCTGTGGGGTGGAGTCTCAATAAGGAACTGCCGTTGGGGCAGAAGTAAGCATAATGCTGCATTATTGAGACCTTTCTTGAGATGTGGTGGCAGGAAGTCGTTTGATAAGGTGTAGGCTATATCCCTAGTAAGGTGTGGTACGTTTCGTTTCCTTGCAGGATTATATTTGTGATGGTGTCCATGGATCTCCATTCTCATTGCTCCCTAAACTACAGGAAGTTAATCGTTGCCTGAGTGACCTCATCGCTCCTGGAAAGGTAAGCCAGTAACTGTTCTCCCACCTCAGCCCCTACGCGTCAAATTCCACAGCAGCACAGCCAGTTATCTGTCTTAGGGCAAAGGGACAAAAAAAAAACTACTCTCGTCCCGTTCATTGTAATGAGTGAGTGCACTTTGGGGAAACTTTTTTTTTTTTTATTTTTACTTATTTTTATTTTATTTTTTCTCAACACACCCTCTTAAAGGAACACTATAGTCTCCTAAATTACTTTAGCTAAATAAAGCCGTTTTAGTGTATAGATGATTCCCCTGCAATTTCACTGCTCAATTCACTGTCATTTAGGAGTTAAATCACTTTGTTTCTGTTTATGCAGCCCTAGCCACACCTCCCCTGGCTATGGTTGACAGAGCCTGAATGGAAAAAAAAACAAACTGATTTCACTTTCAAACAGATGTAATTTACCTTAAATAATTGTACCTCAATCTCTAAATTGAACTTTAATCACATACAGGAGGCTGTTGCAGGGTCTAGCAAGCTATGAACATAGCAGGGGATAAGAAAATCTTAATTAAACAGAACTTGCAATAAAGAAAGCCTAAATAGGGCTCTCTTTACAGGAAGTGTTTATGGAAGGCTGTGCAAGTCACATGCAGGGAGGTGTGACTAGGGTTCATAAACAAAGGGATTTAACTCCTAAATGGCAGAGGATTGAGCAGTGAGGCTGCAGGGGCATGTTCTATACACCAAAACTGCTTCATTAAGTTAAAGTTGTTCAGGTGACTATAGTGTACCTTTAAACTACTAAAAGAGTTGATAGGTTGGTGTTTTTTTTTTTTTTGTTTTTTTTTTATATATATATATATAACTGTCCTTTATGATACAATTTGTCCTTCTCAAATAGACAAATTGAAAAATTTAGGCCTGATCAGCGAATTTGGAAAATAGTGGACTTTAAGTCTGAATGAATGTTGCAATTCAGCTTCACGCTCTATAATTCAGTGTGTAGGGAAGAAACACTGTGGCTTATGAGAGGGTTAGCTGATCTAATATAAAACAATACGCATCCAGACTCTGGGATTGTAAGGCTGCGTGTGAGCATCCAATCTTATAAGGGGCACTTTTTTTATCTTTGCCATACCATCACCAATGAGTGAGAGAGGTATGAATAACCAATATAAATTCAATGTATTTGACAGGTTTGCCATCAATATGCTCTATTTGTGCATGCTCAAATGGTAAACATTTTGCATAATGTTGCACTATAAGCCGCACAGTCACTCCAGAAACAGACTTCTTTATCAGCGTATGTACACAGCTCAGCCACTGACAAACATATTCTACCAAACACATTAATGTTGTATTGGTTCCCAGAGTCTCCCTTTAAGTAACATTTAAACTGTACGACAATCTTTGCTGACCGGAAAAGGCACAATAACTGCCATAATCAGAGGATGATGCTAGGATGTAGGTTGTAATTAGACTGAGTGGTTGTTGGTAGGATTAAACACTTTAAATCAAAGGTTTGGAAGGAGTGATTTAAAAAGCCCAGTATTTGAGGCATAAATGTTTGCGTTTCCTTGTTTCTGCGCAAATAATGTTTTTTATTTTCAAATTTTCGGGCAGAGGTTAAAGCAAGCTGATCACCTTAGTAGGACATACATTGCCTCCTTATCTAGCAAATTCCATGTGCACTGCTAACAGATTTATTACAAAAATATAAAGAAATAAATTACAATTTTTTATTTTTTATTTTTATAAATACCATTTAATAGAAAACATGTGCTCTTTCTCCCAAATGAGAACCTCCTCTGGTGTGTTGCAACGCTCGGTCACTCTAGATGGCGCCATCCCATCACATTCTATATGGCTATTAATAAACCAGGGGTTGGGGGCAGGGAATTTCCGATATATTGTCAAAATAACCAAAGTGTGGATCAAGAATTGGATCATTTTTTTTCAATTTGATTATTTTTTGGATAAAAGTTGGAAATTCCCTCGTCAATATACAGTTTAATAAATAAATAATCTTAAAGCAACATGTTGTTCTGAAAAGCTGCTATCCCACTCGTGTCCAGCAGATGGAGACTCTAAGCCCTATTTCCAAATTAAGAATGCACATCTTTCACCCTAGTGAGAGAAACTATTTGATTATGTGTTCCAAATATATTAGCTCCCACATATGAGCAGTATAAGACTGCGCAACTTTCAGCCTTTTTCCCCACTCAGTATTTATGGCTTTTAACAGTTGTAGTTATTTTTCGTATTGACATTTGTATAGCGCCAACTTATTCCGCAGCGCAGTACGATATTCAAAATGGGGAAATTCAACGATAAATGAGACCATTACAAAATGTTACGGGAACATTAGGCTTATGAGTACCCTGCTTGAACAAACTTACAATCCGTTCTTTCTTTCTGTCCTGTAGGCCGGTACGGTGTCCCTCTCAGTACCTGGTGGCCAACCGGTGCCTCTGGATTCCGTAGTAAGGCAACAAACTATTAACATGTTGAAGGAGCAGAACCGACTTCTGACGAAGGTACGTAATCAGCTCATTGTTTTCTTCAAGTAATATCATGGTATGGCTCTGGGTTGGTTTCATTTACTGCGACCAAAATCGTCATGACACTTTGTGATCTGGTTGGAAATATTATTTAAATTTTACTTGGGCTTTTAAGATGAAATCTTTGGCTGGTTACTCCAAGCACCATGACCATTTCCGTGATCAGAAGTGGTTATGGTACCTGGAATGTGTATGAAATATGTTTCTTTATGAAATGATGCACATACATACGGAATGTGTAGAGTGAATGCTGCACCGAGCTCAGGGTGCTGAAACCGTGTGGTCTGCAGAGTTTTCTCTTAGTTGGCCAGTCTGCATGATTGGCACATGGCCTCTAGTGAATCCACTCCATGCTGACCCACTGCCCTCCCAGGTGCATCACTGGGCCACTGACTCTTTACAAGACGTTGGTGCTGAGGGGTTATAGATCTGGTTAAAAGGTGAAAGCAAGTAATTTGCATAGGGTATGTGTATAAATGCATGCTGGCCTTTTCCCACCAGGTACAGGACACAGGTGAACGAGTGTTTTCCTGGCACTATAGTGGTCCTTTAATTCCGTCCTGGTGATGTCTCAGATATCTGCAAATTCATTGAATCAAAACACATTAAAGGCCCAATGTATCTTTACTGCTTGATGCATTGCAGCCTGTGTTCTTTTAGTGATGTGCATTCTTGTATACCCTCCTTTCTTTTTATTTTGTTTGTCCCCCCCCCACATTATTCCTCTTAAGCTAGAATTGGCATACAGACTGACCCCAGTGTCTCCCTTCCTCTCTCCCAATCTCTGCATTTCAGGAGGTGTCTGATAAGAGCGACCGAATCACGCAGCTGGAGCAGGAGAAATCGGCCTTAATAAAACAGCTGTTTGAAGCGAAGGCTCGAAATAACCCAGACACCAGTCCCATGGACTCTACTTTTATTTAGCCGATCCAGGACCATCTCTGCTTTGGGGAGGAACTATTTTTTTTTGCACATTTTGACCAGAGCCTATGCCCGTGTCCGAGACACAGAGTACTGTACTGGGTGGAAGTGTGCTTAGTGCATCTGCTGCGTAATACAGCTTCCACCAAAACAAACATTTAAAAAAAAAAAAATACGGATCAGGACTCCTTGTTTTTAGAATCATTTAAATCTGCTGCTTTTTCTCTCACTGGTACGCGCTCATCGATAATTAAAGGTACACTCCGTACGCTGACTAGCAACGTGTACACAATGAATTACTACCTAGAGCTATGTTTATCCCTTTAATTACCAGGCAGTTTATTGCAATGTGGAATGTTGGTGCCTCCTGCTGGCAATTTGTTAATATTAGCATAGAGGTTTATTCACTAAACTGGGATTTGTGGAGATTTACCGAGGAAATCTGAGACTTGAAAATAGCTACACTAGAAAAAATCTATTTGAAAATTTCAGTTACTTTGGTCTAAATCTTGTTTTGGCAATTGATTTGTCAATGGTAAGTGAATAAATCCCCTTTAGTGTAATGTATGTAAATAGTCTTTTGACACCCAACACTCCATGTCTTAGCTTCAAGCTGGGCTGCAGGAGGCAGAAAGGTGTTTGTGACCTCATCAATTAGTCTATTATGTATAATATGTCTCTAAAATGTTATCAAGTCCTGTTTACAAGCACATATGGTTCAGAACTATGTTTGCCAATTTTTGGGGGACTTTTCTTAACGGTTTGGTTGCTAATACTTCTTTCTCACTCCATCTAACTTAGAATTCATTTTGCTGCTTTGAATGCAACCATTCTGCCAAAATGATTAATCGTTTAACTCCTTGACACTGAAAGAGTGTGAGGATGTGGGATTTTCTTTATTTTTGAGGGGTAGATTAAAAGTTAAAGGTTATCCTTATTTGAGTGGGATATCGCTCTGTCTGATGTGTCAGAGCTACATGAAGAATATTCACACATTTCTGACATATATTTGTGACATGGCTTGTTTATATCACGCTGATATCCAACCTATCTGACTGCGGTGAGCCAATAACGTGACTATTATCACAGGCAAAGGATTCTGGGAGCGGAGTTAGTCATCGCCAACCATCATACGTATGATTGGTAGGAAGCAGCTATCCATTCACTTTAACCCCTTAAGGACACTTGACATGTCATGATTCCCTTTTATTCCAGAAGTTTGGTCCTTAAGGGGTTAATATCCAATGGAATAGATTTTTTTCCCAGAAGGCTTAATCTCTGTTTACAAACATTTCACTGCTTTTATTTTGTATACTTTAGGCTAAACTTTTAAATCCACTTCGAATTCACCTAGAACTCCTGCTAATGACCGGTTTAGTTAATCTGCCTGTTAAAGGAACGCTATAGCATTAGGATAACATGCTTGAGTGTTCTATAACTTATTTATGATCTGAGCTTCCCCCTTTCACTCTTCATTTTTATTTTCTGGGGTGATGGTCTTGCCACCGCTGCCCTGCCTCCCCTGTTTGATCTCATCAATCCTGATAAAATTTACCAATAAAAAAAAAATGTAATTTTGCTACAAAAAGTTGGGGTTAGGTGTTAGACACAATACATTCATACATTAACATGAAAAACCCACTGTTTATACAGTTACATTGGATTTAAAATCATTTAGCTCCCTCTGAGAAATCCCAGCACATTAATATATAGATATACCGTATGAATAAATAGAGTGAGACCCCTTTTGTTAAGCAGTCACTTTACATAAGCAGTTTGCAGTAATCCTTTGTGAACGGCGTGTTTACAGTCTGCACCTTTAAATTAAAGGAAACTTGTTTACACTGTGCCCAGACTTCTTTTAGATTTGTTGGTTACTTTGTCAATTCTATCATTCGTTTTTACTTCAATCCACAATATGTAGAGGAAATTAATGGCTTTCTTACTCGGATTATAGACTTTATGGGAATGTCTTTTATTTAATTGTTTGTTTTTTTTCCAGCTTTTAATTTACTGTTTCATTAAGAAAAATAATAAATGAGATATTAAAACCAGTTAAAAGAGGAGGAAACATCGAATAAATGTATCTGTGTAGTTTTTGTATTCCCCCATGCTTTCTCACAAATAGGGTTTTGTAAAAAAATCCATTTCAGAATAGGCCAATGTGATTGCTCCCTGAAAACCCTTTGAAATCCCCATCTGTCATACAACACCCACAATGCTTTGCCTGCTGGGGATTTACCACTTGCCCAGAGTGTAAAGGGGCCAGCCCGCGTTCGAAGGAGAATTCTGATCAGCATGTTATCCTTCGCAGCGGGCTGCTGAGCTGCTGCACCAATCAGAGGAGAGAGGGGTCGGCACCATGACATCACTGGCATAACCCCATCACAACCATCATCCATCCAAGGGAGAAGGGTCCAAAGGAGGACAAGCAATGCAGCACTACTCTACGCTGTCCAGTTCGGCACAAGTGCCAGCCATCTGCCTGCCCAGCAGGGGACCTGCCAGGCCAGCAGCAGTTTGCCTTACCCAACGTCCAGCCACCTGTGTCCACCAAGATCTCTGTGCGTATGTGTGCATGTCTGCCTGAGTGAGAATATTCTGAGGAAAACTCTGACTGTTCCACAGTTACCATCCATTCTCATTATCTGTGCCACCCCCCTCTTCAATTGGTGTTTCGAACTCTTTATATATCCCACTTTATTTCCAGTCAGATCTGATGTAACTGGGCCATTGTAGACCACAGCTAGCTCTGTCCTATCACGGACTTATAGGATGCTGTGTCCAGCCACCAGAGGTGGAGTTATCCCACAAAGCTAATTATAGCAGTTTATAAAAAAAAAAAAAAAAAACTGCAATAATTATCTTTGCAGGAGTAAGGGTGCTTGAATGAGCTGAAGTGGTCTGGGTGCCTATAGTGTCAGTTTAACGCTGTCCGCACCTCTAACACTGCATGATCAGTTGGTGAAAGCGGACATAATGAGTTTGAGAAATGGGAAGTAGGGACAGGGGGCCGCACCTACACAGCCAATGACCCTGCCAAGGACCAGCGCCCTTTCAAACAGCCAGCATACAGTGAGCATGTCTGTCACCGAGCTAGCTTACTGCCTGTGTCATTTAATTTTACATTGAAAGTACAAACATTTTGAATTAAATTTTTTTTTTACATTTTATGTTTTGTATTGTGCATAGACCTGACTGGGCCTAGGGCAGCACACCTCCTATTTACACCGGTGGGTGTAGGGGTAATATACAATGCTACTACCACGTATGTAACTTTATAAGATGAGACAAAATGACTAAGAATGCACAAATGGTGTTTGTGTCACTTTATTTATTTTGCAAAAACAATACATCTGGAATCGGGAAGAATTAGATGGTGATCTGTTGTAGGGGTTTCTTAAAAAAAAAAATATATATATATATATATATATATATATTTATGAACCTACCACCACTCCCCCACTTCCTTCCCCCCCCCCTCCCCGCCCCTCTTCCCCTCTCTCAGATAATGTGCTGCAGTATGTTATTGAAAATTAAATCCTGAAATCTCTGATATTACATAACACTATAGTACTATATGAAGCCATGCGCTTACTTGTAGGTCCCTAGAACACAATTCGTCAGCTTGTGCACAGTCTTGGCCTGTTCCTAAGGTGTCCAGCAGAGGGAGCTGGTAAACCTGACATTTATGGTTAACCCCAAAAAAATAAAAAAAAAATTTAATTCAGCTTTTGATTATTCGGTATAATGACAATGTGTGTGTTCTGGTTACTTCCAATCATGAACAACTAAGACTTTTCTTGTAAATCTGCTTTAAAAAAATTCTCTTGGGATAATCCATAATTAATATTGGAAATGTTTTTTATTTTTTTAAGTGCTTTTATAATTCCACAAATGTAATTACAGCATTATGTTAAACTGTATGTTCTCAGTCACAAAAGAATTCAGTTCTCTCTCTTATTTGCTCGGCTTAGTCTTGTCACTAGCCGTTTTCTGGATTCCACTTTGCTGATTTACTCCGGATATTGCAATGTGAATTTTTTTAATTAAAAAAAATATACATATTTTTAAATGTATCTTTTTAATTTCTCGCTAAGAAGTATGTTCCAGAAATGGCTCTAGAATTTCTCTCAAAGCCTGGATGTCCACACACGACGGATATCTCCATTATATTCAGCTAAGAAAATTGTCACATTGTCACAGGCTTTCTTGCGACAATGATAATCTGGTCTGGTTGCCCATTAAGTGATGCTTCTGTGCCTACCGTGTTGCCGTGAATTCACTTTGTCGTTGGATAGGTATGGGTGTAACTGTACACATGTCCAGAGACCTATCCTCACCCTTGTTTAGGTTTTATGAACAAGAGTTCCTGTGGTCCCCTTCAATGTAAGGACATCACATGCCAACTGGTGTTTTGGGAAAAGTCAGTGAACCTGTGACCTTGGTCCCTTTTTTTATCTCTCGCCTTTATAGAAACCAATTGATGTGATAAAACCACAAACCACATGGATGTGATGTCCCCAAATGGCAATTCCAATTAGGAAGGCAGCCAATGACAGATTGAATGCACTGTTTTTAACTGGAGAAATAAATGTAACAAAAGAACAAACGGATTTCCTGCCACAAAAAGGGTTTAAAGAAAATGAAGAAGGAAAAAAAATTACCCCATGTAAAAAGACATTTGCAAGTCTCATGTTTTTGAATGGCAAAGAGTTGTGAGAACGTCATGATATTAAGAGATCTCCTAACCACATCCTTTATTGTGTGTCTTGAAATGAGAGGTTGTGTAATGCCTGCACAGTATAGGTTTTCACTCTATCGTGGTATGGTTTACCAAGAATCTTTTACTCCAAACAACTTTTCAACTTGCTGAACGGGCTTTGTGTAAAGTGCCCCCTACCCTCCCATCATTTGACGAAGAGTGCAGATTTCTATTGAAATTGACACTTTTATAAATTAACCTTGTTACACCCCCTGGCTGTCAGTCATACAACCTGTTGCTTCCTGGTTTGTTTAGCTCAGTGGAGCTAAACTCAAAAGGCAGCAATTGCCCAGAGCACCTGCCTTGCAAAGACTTCTCATTGAGCTGCATTGGGAAGTCTGTGATTGGATAGCCACAGAAAGTCTGGGACGGGGTTAGAAGGGGAGGCTAAGGCTGCAGACAATAGATCATTTGCAAGCTATTTTTAGATATTTAAAGAGTAGCTACTAAATAGTGATAAAACATTTTTTTTCAATGTGAGCAGAGATAGTCCCCCTTAAGCTTGGAAACATTTAGAAATCGCAATCTACGCATTCTTGTAGACACCTGCTGAAGAGGCTCTTTGTACACAGTGCAGAATTTTCATTATCTAATCATACGGTATATTCATCGAATAGAGAAACCCAACTGTGCACACCAGCATCAAACGATTTGGGAGACCTGGACCTTAAAATTCCTTTATTTATTATTTTTTATTTAGCTTTATTCCTCCAACATCCTGTATACCAGGCACTCTGTGTGTTTGTGATTTACTTGTCTACATAATGTTGTTGTTTTTTGTTTGTTTTTTTCATCATCCCTAATTTATGCTAATGTTTGATTTTAGTTGAACGCGAACTTGTATGATTTGTATTTTTCTTTATAGAATGGAATTATTTAGAATAGAATGCAATTAGTTTTTGTACATTTGCATTATGACTGTGCACATTATGGGGGAAAAACATTTTTTTTCAACAAAAACTGAAACGTAAAATAAATAATGGTGTTTTTCCCATGACAAATCTTTTATTTATTTTGTATAATCATTTAAAAAAAAAAGTTAATATATTCTGTGACATTAAATACAGTAAAATGTCAGAAGCGCAGGCACGGTGGTCTTCCTAACATCCAACACTGATTAGGAACGGATTTCCGAAATTAGCTTAAATCAAAGGGTTCCAGACATATGAGCGCTGATTGCTCCTGTGGGATCTTTTAATTATTGGCCTTGGAAAATATATGTCTGTATAAGGGATACAAAGGCCCTTTCATGTGCTGTTTGTAAAGTCAGTCTGTGTCTGTCTGTGTGTGTTAGCCATAGTGTCATTTTATTGAGCTGTGATTAACATCTGTTCTTATGTTATAACTTTGTCATAAATAAATACCTCTTACATTTTCCTCTCTCCCATCCTTGTCACGTTAGTAAGAGCTCCGAATGTATGGTCTTATGAGTATCACAGAGCTCCTCAGCAATAAAACTCACAGTAATAGTGTATCACAGAGCTCCACAGCAATAACAGTACTTCAAAATGCACGTTACTGTGAATCACAGAGCCCCACAGCTCAAAGTAATAGCGTATCACAGAGCTCCATAGGTATAAAACACACTCATACAAAATTGCATGTTACTGTGAATCACAGAGGTCCACAGCAATACAACTCACTCAGCCCCGTCACCCCCTTCTTTCCCTCACTCTGCCATCCCCCTCCATGCACATACACTGTCACGCCCCTCCACACATCCTGCACCACTCCACACACACACTGTCACCACATTCCCACACACACTGTCACCCTCTTAACGCTGCCACACTCACTTTAACCTATCCAGATACTGTCATACTCACCCCCTTCAACGAAACCGCATTCAATTCCCCACGTTCTGCCACACTCACCCTATCACATTACCCCCTAATCCTGTTACACTCCCCTTTTCTCTCACTGTCACACTCACCACTCCTTTTCCTGTCACACACTCTCCTCTAACCGTGCTACACTCACCTCCAACCCTGCCGCACTCACCCTGTCAATTAATTCACCTTAATCATGTCACATTCACCTCCCCTTGCCCTATCACACTTACTCCTCCAACAATGCAACATTCACCTCAACTCTGTGATACACAGCGCCCCAACCATGCCACATTCACCATGTCACATTAACAATTAAACCTGTCACGCTTAACTCCCCTTACCCTGTAACACTCCATCCTTCAACCATGCCACTCTTGCCCTCCCTCATTCTGTCACACTTACCCCCTCACCCTATCACGCTCACCCTGCCACAGTTACCCCTTTTACGCACCCTGTCACAGTCATCCCTGAAGTCAATCATCATACACACAAAGTCATAAAACATAGCTTGGACATAAACAAAGTGCACAAAGGCCACAGGCAGACCCCCATATACACAAAACACCGCACATACACACAAAAAACTCACTGTCAGACACTCTCAGGCACATACACAGGCATACCATGCCAGACACACTCAAATACACACAGCCAGATAAATACACATTGTGACTATATGTATTTATTAGTCAATATTTGTGTCTCTGTGCAGCAGTGTGTTTGTGTGTGTATATGCATGTATCAGTGTCTATATGTATTTGTGTATGTGTTTATATGTATTCATGTATTAGTGTGTATGTCTATGTCTGTAATGTGTGAAGGTGGTACGGTATGGGCAATGCAAAGGTAAAATTAGAAGCAACATATATGTTATATTCATACATATGTGGGAAAAATGTCTATGACATTGTTTTCTTATCAGTAACTTTATTATTTGGTAAATAATTTTTTTTTAAAAACCTAACCAAAATGTTCATTTTTATTTCCAATAACCCAGTGGTTCCCAAACTGTGCGCCGCAAGTTATTTTCCTGGTGCTACGATGATAGCACCGGGAACTGTTCTCTCTCCTGCCGTCTCTGCAGGACCGGAGGAGAGATCTCCCTCTCCGGCCCACTAGAACTTTGCTGACTGCCGGCTGGGGATGGAGGATGAGAGGACAAGGGGGAGCTCTAATCTGCAGCTCCGCCAGGTTCTCCTCTCATGAGTTTGGAGCGTTACGGTTACCACGGCAACGCTCTGAATCTTGCAAGAGTAAACTCTATCAGCTCCTGAGGCTGCTAGAGTTCACTCTCTCCACTGGGACCACCAGTGCTTCCCCACCAGACCACTAGGGATTACAGGAAAGGTACCCCCTCCCAGGCAAAGGCAAGCAGGAAGGGGGATTTAATTTTTATTTTTAATTAAAAAATTAAAATAAAATATATATTAATTAGCCCTCCTACCCCCCCAAACCCCACACAACACAATAGCTCCCCCATACACACACACCCATACACACAATTACCCCCCAATACACACACACTACCCCCCCATACAAACTGTACCTCTCACACACAATGCACCCCCCATGCACAAACTGCCCCACATACACACACACTGCACCCCTCACACAGACACACACACACACAAACTACATCCTTCACAAACACAAAGCATCCCTACATGCACACTGCACCCCTGTACACGCACATGCACCCCTTACACATGCACACTGCAACCCTCACACAAATGGCACCTCCACACACACACACTACAGCCCCTACCCCAGCAGACCCCAGGTAAGTTGTCAAACAGTTTGACTATTTACCCTGGGAGGGCACTACTGGCACCATAACCACTACAACATAATGTAGTGGTTATTGTGCCTGGATTGTTTCTTTAAATAATCTATCAGTGCCACTCCCAAGATTAGGGGCCCAGTATATGCCGCAGCGTTGCCTTGGAAAAAATATTGCAATATTAAGGGCGCCTTGAACATAAAAAGTTTTTAAACCACTGCAATAACCCCTTCACACGGGCACTTATGTATACACGACTGCCAGGCTATACAACCATACCGAGCAATCGTGTATAAATGATTCGCATAATTGTAAATTAAATTTGTTTATTGCATATTGTGTCATAACTACAGTCAAAGAGCTCACAACACAGTGGCAAAGGGAGCCGCCACAATGCAAGCCTCTAAATATGAATACAGACACTACCTCTCTGTATCCAAAGCTGCAAGCCTGCCATTTAATATATCTACAGGTTCTTATAAACACGCTAACGGGCCTCATGTGGATGAGTTTCGCCTAATGCCTCGCAAAGTCTAGAGCTGACCCTGGTATGA